AATATACACAGGATCTAGCTGTGGGCTGTACCCCAATATACACAGGACCTAGCTGTGGGCTGTACCCCAATATATGTGAAAGGGTTCAGTATAAACAACTGAAAATGAGCAAAATAACATTTTAACATTTTGAACAATTTTCAATTACTGTGACAGCAATGGCATCTTGGCTGATGAATGTTATTCCTAATTAGTGATGTGTTAATTAGGCCCTCCCTTAAAATTATTTATAATTTATAATTTTGTCTTGGCCTCACATTGGCAAAGGCAAATCGATAAATTCTCACCTACAATTGTCGAGAGATTAGAGAAGGCAGAGTCAATGGTGTAGACAGAGGAAGAGTTATAGGAGGGAAGCACAGTGAAGTTGTGGATTCGGAGTACTGAAGGAAGAAAAGCACACACTATGAGATTGACAACAAACAGTGAGACCATACAGCAAATCATGGTGCTTACAACATCAACAACAGAATACAGCGAGAGAAATCAAACAGCAAACACAATAAAATGTTCAAAGCTTCAAGGCATTTCATCACTGCATGACAATATTTATAGAAAAAGCGAGGGCAAGAGTCATTGGGGGGAAGAGAGTGGACAAGATTATTTAGAAAGTATCACAGTGTAGTTGCTGCTCCAACCTAGTCCTCACAAGCCTCCTCCCACCCCCCCTTCATCTTGCTCTATCACCCTCTCTTTCTAATGCTTTTTCCCTTGGGAGAAATACAATGGAAATCCATCATAACATGGTTCAAGATATTGCAAATAACCTCATGGTATAAGATCCCATCGATTCCAACAGGGTTAACTCCTTATTTACATCTAGTTAAAAACTGAAGGTTCCTTAGTAACTGAGACTAGCTCTAATACGCTTTCACTTTTCGGACCCTGATGTTCTCTTAAATTCCCCCCTGGATTTATGCGTGACTCTGATAGACTCTAGTTTTCTTCTCACCCACAATGAAAATATCTTCTCCACTTCTCCCCCATTAAACCCATTTAAATCTTACAACCACAATCAAGACATCCTGCAGCTTTTCAGAATCAAAGCGAGGAAGCCTGTTCATTCTTTCTTGACAGTTACAAACTTTCAGTTCTGACATCATTCTTGTAATTATTTTTAATAACTTCTTCAGTTTCCCTGGTCTGTTCCCTTTCTGTAATATGGAAACCAGAACTGTTCACAGACTCCAGAAGTAATCTCAGCAGAGGTTCGATATAATTTGACATGACTCCTCTTCATTTCAATCCTGTCCTTGTTTTGTTTGCAATAAAACCTACAAAAATGGCAAATCTCCTACTGGGTTATAACTACATTTGGGAAGTTTGCAGCAATCGTACAGAGTGCTGGAAGGTGTAAGGGAAGAACAAGAGATTGTCACTAATAGGAGGGAGAGTGTGGACTTATTTCACTGAGAATATCATAACCTGTTTGACTTCCATTCACGTTGCACAGCTCGTTTAGTCCCGCCACTGTATCCAGAGGCCAATAATGAGACGCTGATTCTAGCACCTGGAAACCTAAAAACAGCTGGTTAGGGTCAGTGTCGGTGTCTGTTACAGTATAATCCACTCAGAAATCCCAACATACATTGGAATATTTACTAATTCACAGACTAAACAAAGAGGCAGTTAGCATGCGCACACAGTCAGCATATACACACAGCAAGCGTACAGTTATCATGTGCACACAGCATGTACACACAGTTAGCATGCACACACAGCATGTACAAACAGTCAGTGTGCGCACACAGTTAGCGTATACACACAGCATGTACACACAATTAGCATACATGCACAGTTAGCATGCACACACAGCATGTACACACAGTTAGCGTACACACACAGCATGTACACACAGTTAGCGTACACACACAGCATGTACACACAGTTAGCGTATACACACAGCATGTACACACAGTTAGCGTATACACAAAGCCTCCCCAGCCAGCAGCAGCAATTAGCAGAAAGCTTTGCAAAGATTCATTTCAGGAAAAACTGTTGAACTTTTGTAAAATTAGCATGAGCCACTCTCCCCTTCCCACACCCCCACCACCACCATGAGGGGTAGGGAGTGGCGCAGTCATAATGTCACCGGGCTAGTGACCCCAAACCCTAGGCACATGTTCTGGGGACATGGGTTTGAAACACACCTTGGCAGGTAATGTCAGTGAAAGATCACAGACAGAAACTTAATTGAATACCATGACTCGTCTGATGAGTTTCTCAACCCTCACAGAGTAGAGCAGTGAATCATTCACTCACTAAGTTCTTTTAATTAATTCTGGGCCAGCATATATTGCCCATCCTAATTGCCCAGAGAGCAGTTACGCCAACCCCATTGCTGTGGGTCTGGAGTCACATGAAAACCAACTGTGTAAGGTTGGCAGATTTCCCTCCCTAAAGGACATTAGTGACCCAGACGGGTTTTTACAACAAGTAGCATTGTTTATATGATCACACTCAGGTTAACGTTTAATTCCAGATTTTAATTGAATTCAAATTTCACCATTTTCCATGGTAGCATTCAAACCTATGTCCCAGAACATTAATCTGCAGTTCTGGATTACTAGGCCAGAGACATGACCACTACACCAGCACCTCCCAACAAACATTAACAATCTGATTGGTCAAGACATCAACTTTCCTTCTCTGGCCACGGTCATCTCTACCAGAGCCAGTAGGGAGGCACAGTCCTTCTCAGGAGAAGGATTTAAATGTTCCAGGAAAGCTCTCACACCCATCAGGTATGAGTATCCAGGAAGATTTCAACTCGGATTTCCAACCCTGAGCTCCATTCTCTAATCTCAGGGACTTTGCAGAATGGGATTTGAATCAGAGGCCAGTGGTTTAATTCTAACGCAGACATAAGAAATACACAAAACAATTTGGGATATCTGAGACACTGTGCTGCCTGAAAGGACAGAGGAAGCAACTTCATCAACAACTTTCAAGAAGAAACCGTAAAGGAGAATTTTGCAGGATGGTCGGAAAAAGACAGTGGTGTACGACAAACAAAATGGTTCCTTAAAAGAGCCAGCACAGCACAATGGGCCAAATGGCACCTTTCCATGCTGTAAGGTTTAATGTTGGATGGTATATTCAGTTGAGGAATGAGTCAATCTACAGTCTGTGATCATGAATTCCCAATCGGAGAGTTCACATCACTTAATAGCAGTATCCCAGCACAGGAATAACAACTTGGGATGTTTCTTTAAACTTTAAGTCCTAACCACATCAAAAAAAGCAGAATTATTATTTGATATTTGAACCAGAGAATAATCTTCAACAACATTTCACAAGGATTTTGTTAGGTGCAGTGAGGATTTTTCCATCTGGAATGATTTAAACATTTAAACTGTGAATTCTGACTCCAGTAAAGGAACTATCAGATCCTGCTCTTTACACTGTGTGTGAGATCATCGTTTACATTACCTCACTCATGACTTTATAAATCTTTGCATCACTTTGTCCCACAGAGACAATCTTTACAATGAGTTGCACCACCTCACCGTCATCTTTGAATGATGCTCACGATGATTAATTTGCTGTAATTGTTTGAGAAATGATTTTACACTTTTAATAAAAGCATGAAGCTGGAAGCTGGACTGTGCAGAGATTTTTCAGCTGGTGTTGAACTGAAGGGTCCAATTTGGTGTGGGGGGTGCCCACTTGGACACAGGGAACAGGACATTGATCACGGAACACTCTAACCGGAGACAATCCTCTCCTGGAATTGGTGGTGGGCCTGATTTAAACTGGGCTGAAGAAGGCCCCTCCCAAACCCCAGTGCCACATGACAGCAGACAGTTTTCACCAGCCACATCAATTTGTCTTTGATGGGACCATCAGATGGGAAAACCTCACACATTATTACTGACCCTGCCCCCTGCTGCCAAAGGCCTGGGGTAATTCCAAACTCCTTGTGATTGGTTCATTGTCCCTTTGGGCAATGAACTACTGCCTGAGATCTCTGTACTCCTCATATCCTGCTCACTTCAGTGTTCCTTAATTCTGTTGCTCCGTCATTGAGAGCAGAACCTTCAGCTGCAGAGGCTCCAAGCTGTGGAATTCCCCAACTCCCTCATCTCTTCTGAGATTTCTTCACAGTGAAGGCCGAGGGGGGACTGTGTTCTGCACAGAGTGTACTGTGCGTGCAGACCATCTTGCTCGGAGTCTGTCATTTGGCCAACAACCCCCTCCCCGCAGCTTTGGGATTACTTAGAGTGCTGCTTCAGAAGTAGCCCCAACCCCACGTGATCCCAAAAGTCTCCTTTCCCCATTCCCACCCCACTTCCTGGGGTTCAGTATCGGATCACTGACAGGAAGGCCAATACCCTGCTCTTCATTTCCTCTAATGGTCAAAGGTGCAACAGATGCCATAAATCCCTGGATAATATAGGAGACACACAAGACCCAATTCGGAACTAGCTTCAGGACCTCATCCACAAGGAAATCCCGTCTCATATTTGGGATCCTCTATCCCAAAGAGCTGCCAATATTAATTATTGAATATATGAACATAAATTAGGAGACAAAGTAGACCATTCGGCCCTTTAATCCACTCTATAAGATCATGGTCTGCATTTCAAATTTCACATTCCCATCGATCCCTCGATAACCTTTGATCTGAGCCCAACACAAATCTATCCAATCCTCCTTAAAAATATTCGACAACACTGCCCCTATCTCTCCTGAATTAGAGAGCTCCAAAGTCTCACAACCTTAGGAGAGAAAAGAATTCCCCATATCTCTGTCCTAAAAGGGGACCCCTAATTTTAAACCAGTGCCCCCTACCCCCTTTCTGGACTGACCATCAAGAGGAAACATCCTGTCCACATTAACCTTGTCCAGACCATTCAGAATCTTATTCACTTCAATTCCGTCTCCCCTCACTCTTCTAAATCCCAGTGGGAACAAGCACAGTCTGTCCAACCCTTCCTCATTAAACAACCCAATCATTCCAGCCATGAATCTGGTAAACCTCTTCTGGATCATCTCCAATGTATTTATTTCCTTCTTTAAACATAAAGACAGTATTTGAGATTGTGGTCTCACCAATACCCTGTATAACTGAAGCATAACATCCTTCCTTTTATGTTTATTTCCTTTTATAATAACTGAGAGAATCCCATTATCCTATTGGATTACTTGCTGTATCTGCATGCAAACATTTTGTGACTCATATGGTAGAACACCCAGATCCCTCTGCACCTTGCAGTCCTGCAGGCTCTGTTGAAGTAAGACTCTGCTTTGTCATTCTTCCTACCAAAGTGAATGACTTCACATGTTCCTTCATTATACTCCATTTGCCGGATTTTTGCCCACTCACTCAGTCCCTATCTATGACTGTTTGAAACCTCTTTGTATCTTCTTCACACCTTACCTTCCTAGCCTTCTTGGTGTCATCCGCCAATTTAGTCAACACACCTTCATTCCCCTTGTCAGAGTCATTGATGTAAGTTGTAAAATGTTGAGTCCCCAGCATAGGGCTGAGGACCAATTAAGGAATACGGGACATTGCAAGTAAGTGGGAGCAGTGGAGAGGATCAGCCAAGACTGTAATGAATATGGGGCCAAGTGGCCTACACCATCTCACATTTTCCCTATTATCCCTGGTTTAGATACTATTGAATTTCTTCCCTCAAACGTTATGACATAGAATATAAATATTAATGAGTTAATATTAAAAACCAACAAATCTAAAACACGCTGTGAGAATAAAAAGCCTTGTAATGATCCAATTATGAACACATCATGTTGGCATAAACAATAAATGTTTTTCTAAACAATTCCAGATTTTAAAATGGACATATATTCTGCACCCAGAAAATCCAATTAAGCAATTCCTTTGTTTTGAAGAATGTTGTCAAGTTGATGTATTAATATCTTTTTACTGGCAATTACAACAAACTAAATGCTCAGAGAAAAATATGAAAATTGTTACAAGCTGTTGGTTAGTCTTATTTTTTTGTAACCACAAGCTGCATATTTGCTGCAAATATGCTTCCTCTCAATATTTGTCCAGAGATTCTGAACTGGTCCATATTGCTTAATTCAAAGGTTATTGCTGAAGGGTAAAATTAAACTGTTTGGCTTATATTCAATGTTAGCATTTTCAATCTGATGAAATGCCCTTTCAGCAAAGGCACAGATGGGCAGGATTGCCTATTCCTATGTGTCCAGGAGCTGGGCAGTATTCAGCACATAGTCGGATTTTCTTCTGGAAGCGGTAAGCATGAATGCCTTTTATTTCCAATCGCCAATTGGTAATAGGTATGGAAATTAGACTGTGGCTCAGAGAGGAATTATCTGCAAGGCCATCATATTTGTAAACCCTATTTGCATACAGAGAAACAAACAGACAGGACCATGATTAAAAAGATGGAGAAAATCTCTCTAAAATGCGTGAAACGGGGTAGAACGACAGCAATTTCCATTTAAATAGCACCTTTAATAGATTGAAATATCCCAAAGTGTTCACAGGAGCAATGATCTAACACAGATCAGACACTGA